AACTGCGTCAGATGCGCACCAGAGCACGGTTGCACGCAGCAGCACGCAGCAGCACGCAGCAGCACGCAGCAGCACCCGGCAGCACACGGCAGCACGCAGCAGCACACGGCAGCACCCGGCAGCACACGGCAGCACACAGCTTTCGTCGATTGGTGATGTAGGATGAGCAAGGCGAGACAAGCACAAGGCAAGAGGCAGACGACAAATGCACAGTACTCAGTCAAGAAACAAATGACAAGATGGCGATTGTGCATAAGATCTTCTCTTCTCCCGTCCCAAGCATCCTCTGGGCCAGCTCAGGACGGCACGAAAGTCCCCAGATCACCTCCCGCCATGACATTTCGAGGCACGCCCAGCCACAAGGTGGCAGTCATGTCTGCTGTCGTAGCCAACTTCGTCACACTGGGTAACGTTCCTTCTTACCGGGATCCGGCACTGGACGGTACAACTAACTCTGCCACAGGAGCTGCCATGAGTCATGGCATCTTGCAGCAGCTTCATCACACGAACCCGGCCCTGAAGGCATCCTATTTTCAGGTGGCATGGATCAGCAGCCTCCAGGTGTGTCCATGACATGTTCTGTTACGAGATCCTCCGGCTTACAAGGCCTTTTCTTGCGATGGGCCATCCATAGTTGGCATGCCTACAACTGGGCGCAACTCTACCGGAGCTATGGTGCCGTTTTCCGCCACGGCCTATCATGGCGACAGGGGCAGTCTTGTGTTTGGCGGGTCGGCTTTGGGCGAGTTTCTCATCGTCGTACGGACAACTGGTTGCCTCTGAAGGTCTCTTGCTCGGCGTTGGCTCAGCCCTCGTGTAAGTTGATGTTCCGACGTACAATTCAACCACTCACACCACCTCATCCATGCATCCACACACCCCATCTACACACACCATCCACACCATCCACACCATCCACACCATCCACACCATCCACACCATCCACACCATCCACACCATCCACACCATCCACACCATCCACACCATCCACACCATCCACACCATCCACACCATCCACACCATCCACACCATCCACACCATCCACACCATCCACACCATCCACACCATCCACACCATCCACACCATCCACACCATCCACACCATCCACACCATCCACACCATCCACACCATCCACACCATCCACACCATCCACACCATCCACACCATCCACACCATCCACACCATCCACACCATCCACACCATCCACACCATCCACACCATCCACACCATCCACACCATCCACACCATCCACACCATCCACACCATCCACACCATCCACACCATCCACACCATCCACACCATCCACACCATCCACACCATCCACACCATCCACACCATCCACACCATCCACACCATCCACACCATCCACACCATCCACACCATCCACACCATCCACACCATCCACACCATCCACACCATCCACACCATCCGCACACACCATCCACACACACCATCCACACACCCACCCACCGGGGCTGGCAGCATTGACGTAGGGCTGCCCTTGCAGTTTGGCGCCGAGCATAGGGGAATCGGTCATCGCCGATTCGGTTGGCTTCGCGATGAGCGGCCTTGACAACTGTGGCTGTCCGAATGCCAAGTGCCTGGCCAGTCTCCCACAAGTCTCCTCACTTTTTCTCCTCGTCCTAGGGCTAATTGGCCATGGCAGCCATCACCCGTCCCTGACCCTCGTTCGTTGCCACTACCCCGGCCCGTCCTCCAGGCTGCCGCTGCACCTCTCTCGCTGCGGCGCCATGCTCGGCGCCGTCTTCTGGTCCTTACTCGCCCACTTCCTGTCGCGCCACGCCGCCATCATCTGGGCTCAGCGCGGTCTCGCCTTGGTGTCCGTTCTGTTTCTGGTTTGCTGCTGTGCTCTCGCGCCCGCGAGCCCGGCCCATGCTCATTCTCACGACGACGCGGACGACGAGGAGCAGCCGACCACCAACCGGCCTCATGCTCATGGTCGCGGGGTGGCGACGGCGCTCACAGACCATGCCCTCCTCGTCGCCCTCTTCCTCCTCTACGCCGGCGCATCCATGACCTGCACCTTCGTCACGCCCCTGGCGCTCCGAGCCGGCGTGGCGCCGACGACAGCAGGGTTTGCCCAGGTCGGCATGTACTCGGTCGGCCTGGCGGGATACTTCATGATGGGGGACATGGAGCGCGCCGTTTCCAGGTGCGCGCGCAACCCAACGATGCAACCGAGTTGGAGCTGACGTTTTCCTCGACAGAAAGTGGATTCTCGTGGCCGCCGCTGTGGTCTCGGGCTGTCAGATCGCTCTCTTTCCGCTCATGCTGTCTACCCCCGTCGTCTTGCTCTTTTTCTGCCAACTAGGGTTGTTTCTGGCCATGCTGATGGCGACCACGCCCCCTTATTTCCTGCAATCGATTTCCTGGTAAGCCTGTCCGATCCCCTCGCCGGCGGCGCTGAGTTATCGACCAAAGAACTAGTGGCCGTGGCGCCCGACTCCAACTAGTTGCGTCGAGCATCGGGTAAGACCAGCCCATCTCTGCCACCCTTGCAAATCAAGGAAGCGAGCTGACACAACACAGGTTCTTGCTGGGCGGCCCGGTTTGTGGCTTCGTCGAGGATATCGGCAAGGGATGGGTGGGTGGCAGCGTGGTTTGCATGGCGACCCTGCTGGGGGGATCGCTTGCGCTGGCCACTACCCTGACCTGCAAGCGGACGCTGCGACGCCGACTGTAGACGTTCCTCCATCCGCCTCGAACCCGCGGACAATGCAGGGGCGGGCTGGGTCGGCGGACGCCGGTGACGTGATGGGGAGGCGAGAGCGCCAAATTGGCATGGAGCCTTGCATCGGAACCGTTTCTGGCCGAGGCCGAAGCGAAAATGGGCGGGGAAAGAGGAGGCGTGTCGAGGCGCAATGAGGGTAGTGGGCAGTGCGTTTGTGATGGAGGAAGAAAAACGGGCCGCTGGACGTGATTCAATTTCTCGACTGCACGCTTGCCAGGTTGCTGGTTTGTGCGCTGGTTTGCTTGCTGATTTGTTTGCTGATCGGCTGAGCTACACATGCTTCCGAGTGTAACTTCAACGATAAAACGCTTCGTAAAAAAAAGAAAAAAGGCAAATCTATTCACACATTACGTATCTAGAGTGAATGAGAGCAGACACTATGGATGGGCAATAGATCTCGAAGGACTGGCTTGCATCAGCCTTGAATGGAGCTGCAGGAGCCCGACGGACGATAGGGACGAATCTCGACCAGGTTTGGGGCGGAGGCGGGGAAGCGGGCAGATGGGTGCGTGACGGGCCATCAGGGTCACCGGGTCATGCAACTCCTGGATCCCGTATGGTAGTATGTTAGCCACTAACAGTTGCCCGAAAGAGCGTGGCTTCTTTGTCGAGCCGCCCGTCACGTTTTTTCGGCCAATTCTGGGACGTTGCGCTATGTCGGGCCGATCGATTGCGCCTGCAGTCGACAGCTCATATATATATATATAGAATACACAAACACTCTCGCCTGCGACTTCGCAGGGCCGACCATGGCTCGGGCCTGACCTAGCACCCTTTCCAGTATTTGCTGCGGGTGGGTCGCAGGAAGCTGAGCCCCCCCACCCCCTTTGCTTCTGTCGCCTGGCAAAGCGCCCGAAGCTGCCATCTCCGCTTGCAAGTTTCCGCGCTTCTCTTTCCATCCTGGCAAGCTGATCGTTTGGTCTGGTGGCTGTACAGTATCACAAAGGAGCACACACGCGTCTTTGACGTCTATGCTACTCGCACATCCAGCTTCGCTGCATGACAGCCCCGGACCATTCGGCGTGCTGCAACCAACTGCCTGTTTCGCGCGCAGCATGCAGCTCAGCAGGGCCACTCCACCCTTTCGACAAATCAGCCACGCCCTTGATTCAAAGCCATTCTACATCTAGAGCCGCTTTCTTGGCATCTGCAACTACGCTGTCCCTGTCACATATTTGTTTGCTCACGGGAGCGTGGCATTCGGCCAGTGTGCTTGCCAAACCCTGCTTTCACTCCGTGGTGTGTAGATACCTACTACGCGCTCTTTCTGACTTTCTCGGAACGTATCACCTTCGACAAAACCCTCTTGACTAGAAATGACTCTTGCTACAACCCGCGAGCTTGACGGCGGCCGCGTTCACCGATTGCCCATTCGTTGACAGGCTCGACCGTTCAGTAAGGCTGCGTTGGTGGGGGCTCCAGCCTTTCCGTGGTGGATACCAGGGGCACCAGCCCGCGATCTCAGCGATTCATGAATGTCAGCGGAGGTCAGCCAAGCTAGGCCATGCCAAGGAAGGTTCCTGGGGCGGGCCTTCCTTCACACCCTCTGCTGGGTCTAGTCGAAGCCCAGAAAAGGGGCTGGCAATGTTCGTCGCACAACTCCGTAGCCGTGCTAGGGACCCATGGCAGCGCAAGTCTGGCGACGCGCCCCCTTTTCTCCGGGGTGTCAAAACCAACTTCGACCAAGTTTTTCTCCGATAAGCGATTGCGCGCCAGTGTGGAAACAAGCCTTTTTTGGGATTTTTCTTTTCACTTATTTTTCGTGTCTTGCTCAAATAGTAGCTTGTGCTGTAGTGCAACTCTGTCGTGCCATGAGGCTCGTCACCGCGCGTCCCGGCGAAGGGATCAGAAGGTGGGGAGCGATTTGTCTTCGGGGCCCTCCGCTGCCAGCCGGCGTTATTCCCTCCTCCCATACCCATGCATTCTTCGCGCCGAAGGCAACCACAGGGCGCGTGTAGACAATAGCTACGACTGGGCTCCACAAAGGATGATGGACTGACGTCGAGACCGTCCTTTGTGCGGTGAGGAGCCGGGTGGGCACAGGCGGCAAACAGCGCGACGTATGTCCCGAAAACCAAGCTCTACTAGCAGAAATCACTGGCCATGCCATAGATTCCGTACAAGGCGAAAAGAATGCGCAGAGGAGAGTTGGCTGCGTCCTGGCCTTGTCCACTTGTCCAGCCTGCTCTTGTGTAGGGTAGGTGGGCCCGGGGGGAAGGGGGGTGGTGGGCGAGGACCGGAGGACTGTTGGACGCGCCGCCCGCGCACATTATTGAATGTCGGCATGTGGATGGCGGCGCGCGCCCATGTTCTCACTAGTTGCCCCTGGAATACTCTCCCTGCCATCATCCTCCAACTGTAGCAGTGTCGCGCCCAATGGCATGTATCTGTCTGAATCGATACCCGTCAGCGGGTTCACGATGATTCCTGGCCTTGTCCACTTGTCCAGCCTGCTCTTGTGTAGGGTAGGTGGGCCCGGGGGGAAGGGGGGTGGTGGGCGAGGACCGGAGGACTGTTGGACGCGCCGCCCGCGCACATTATTGAATGTCGGCATGTGGATGAACAATGAACACAACCCAAACAGCCGTGTGCGCATGGGCCGGCCGCGTACCATGGATTCCGGCCGCAGTTGGGCTGTGTCTGCGCCTTCTGGCCAGTCTGGGCCCACCGCGGACTAACAAGTCTGCGCCTGCGATTGGTTACCGACTGCGTGGTAAGTAGGTAACCAATCAGAGGTGGTTGATGGGTGTCCGCCAAAACTTGCAGCAATGGTTTCCAGTCCCATTGGAATGCAGTAGTGAAGCCGAGACGTTTGCGAGTGGAGCCAGGGTAATGAGAATAGACACATTCATTCAACGAGTGGCGGCGTGGATGCTACGTCCCATCAAGAGCTGCGAGTCCAGAGCAAAGGTGGGCCTGACAGTTTGGCAGGTTCTTGAGGCGATGAGGGCAGTGGAGACGTTTTGGTTCTCAGGTGTGTGTGGGACCCGAAGATTAATGTCCAAGAATGCGATGATCATGACAAGCAGGTTCAGTTGGCAGACCACCAAGAGTCGCCGTAGCTGAACGTCGTGGACGAAGAGACGGATAACGTCGCTCGGCCGCAGCTGTCGACACCGTAACAACCCATGGGTGGTGTGGAGCGCGCCGCTCTGACGACCAACGCCAACAGAGGGCAACGGGCCGGGCCCGACAGGATGATCGGGCGCTTGGCAACTGCGGACGCTACTTCTGAGCCCGCCATCACAAATTGAGTGCCAACAGAGCGTGGGGATTTCTCGGCCGTGGACTGGAAGATGTGCACGTGCGCCTGATCGTCTGCGGATGATTCGCTATGGATGCGATGCACCCAGTAGCATCAGGAATTGCCTGATCTCTCGGGGTGGGTGGGTCGGCAGGCGGGTTGGTGGGTCGGCAGGCGGGTTGGTGGAAGAAGAGGGAAGGCGGTGGGGGGCCAGCCCCCACTCGCACCCAGTTCAACTTTACAACGGTCGCCCATCTAGGCAGCAGGGGGCGGGCTGCGTTGGGGCGGAGTCAATGAATGAACAAGTGCTCGTCGATCCAGTACGGCCCGTAACCAGAGCGGCGTACTCCGGAGGGGACGCAGGGGGAATGTGTCTGTATGTGCAGGGGGTACTTTTGAAAGGACTTCGGAAGGGTTGGGGAGGGGGTGGGTGTTGACTCTTCACAAACGGAGGGAGTGCTGTTGGTTGGGTGATTCTTTGTTTGGGTGATGCCCGCCAAGAAACTCTCCAGTGTGTGTGGAGCCTCACAAAAGAGAACAAATCGCCTGTCAACCATGACAAGTGGCTTGAATTGAAAGGAGACACAGACTGGCTGGTACAACAATGATGACAAGGCGACCCACAGCAGGCAAGCCTGTGGTTCGCGCGGGTAATGCGAACGCACTGCCGATTGACAAAGATACCCTCCAGAGAGGCAAGTTACGGCTCGCAGCGTCGGCATTGTTTCCCAATGCTCAGCAAAACACTCCAATGTACCGATGTACCGGATGCAGCCTGAAGGAGCATGGAGCAGGGCGTGTTGTCTCTTTTTGTTTCGAAAATCACGCCCCGGAGCACCTGCCTGATTATGAGTTTAGATGGCAGGGAGTGCAAGTAAAACCGAATGAGTAGCAGAAAAGGGGACACAAAGGGGTACAGAGAAACGAGCAGATACGATCAGTACAAACAGATACCACCCAATACATGCAGATACAATCGAGTACAGGCAGATACAGGCAGATACAGGCAGATACAGGCAGATACAGGCAGATACAGGCAGATACAGGCGGACACAGGCAGATACAGGCAGACACTGTACTGTATGTACAATCAGATATGTCACATATCAATACATACAGATACAATGACTACATTAGATACTGAACCAGCAGATACAAGCAGACACAAGCAGATACAGACAGACACAAGA